TTAATCAAAATAATAAACTTTCTAACTTTAATTTCTATAAAACCACACATTACAAGAAAGTTTGGTAATAAACGTTTATTTTGTGAACTTAGTTTGACCATGGAAGTATAAAACAGATGGAAGTCCAACCGCATTGAAATTCTTCGGGACTATGCTTGTAACCTTTAGTTTCGTAAATAATAAAACAACAACATCAAGACTGTACTTAAACGCCTAATCTTTATACGTTGACGCAAATAGGTACGTTTATAATAATTTAAAAATTTAGTATTTTGAAGGTTCGCCAATAATATTCAAGAAAAACATTAAAAAAATGGCACAACGAAACGGCAAACAACAACTTTTTTATAAACTTCATATTAAATGAATGGAGTACTACAAGAATGAATGGAATTATGATATACAGCTAATGAAACTTTAAACTTTAGTTATTTAGGAAACAATTTTTTGATTTTTTAAAAATTGTTTTAGTTGTCTTTTTAATCAAATGTCGTGTTATGACTTGAAGCAAGAAAATAAGTTTAAACTAACATATGCTTTTAAAATCAAGTGGATCTATTTAATTACCGAGTTTTAATATACCATTTGTTGAATAACTGCAATAACTAATGGTTAAAACTTTGCAGCATATCCCTAGAATAATTCATTTTTTGATGTTTTAATAAAAATCATTTCAGTGAATTTTGTTGTTTTTTATCCAGTGAAACTAGTTTTTATTTATTGTCGGTTACAAGCATACTCCCGAGACGACTTAAATTGTCTCGCGGTTCGATTAACTTCCATCTGTTTTATACTTCCATGGTTTGACCTACAACATGGCGCAGCTAGAGCGTTTATTATGCCGTGACATCCGAAAACTATCTATTCTAAGCCTGTATAGGGTTTTAAAATATGCTAACGTATTAGGATAACGCCTCTGTTGAGCGCTTCAGTATTAATAATATTACTAATTTAAAAAACGTTAAAAAATAATTGTAACTCGGTGTAGTTAAGGTGAGTTACAAAATATTCGAATTCTTTTATTTAGATTTAGCATAATGTTATTAGCGTATTATGTCTAAACAAGAGCTTTAGATTTTTTTTGCTTCAGGTTTTTTAATATTTAAAGAAACTTTTTTTTAATATAATTTTTAATACCTTTTTACTACTCGTAAAAGTGAATCTAAGGAACACCATTTTGAAGTATTTACATCGCTCATCGGCGTTAACATGAACTTAGTTAAAATCTTTTGAAAAAGTGCCTTCACCCACAATAAATCCTAGTTTTAATCGGTTCTGACGTATATTAACTATATGTAGTTGTCAAAATACAATATTTCTATCAATTTTTAACAAAAAATACAAGAATTCCGACCAAGAAAGAGCTCATAATTAAGAAAAATTGCCAATAAGAACAGATCATATAATTAAGCATGTTCATTTCACCTAAAAAACATATTTATTTAAAATCTTATTCAAATTTGGACAAGCTATACACCTTTTCACAGTTCCGATATAAAATTTATGCGCGCGCCGAAATGGATGTAAAAACGTAAAAAAACATTATTTCAATGGTTTAAGCTATAGAGGTTTGTAATGAAAAAAATATAAATACTAGTTTACTATAATATAAAATACTATACCATATAAAAGTTTCAAGAAATCGAAAACACGCGCTGTCATTGATTGTAAAAATAACGAGTACAATCCAGAAATGTGGAAAGATGATTTATATGATACAAAATGTTAAACGAAGCTCTAACTTGTGAAACTGCAAATTACCATTTGAGTAAGCATTTGTTATCCATTATCAACACACACACAGATATATAACAATATAAAAACAACCACAGCTCAGAGAAAAACTAATTACCCGTTCAACTCCCTTATTATTGCGTCATAGTAAATAATTTACCATAAAATATAAAATGAGAGTAAATTCAGACGATTTTCTTGACAGAGCATTATTGTTTAAAAATCGATATTCTAAACTTAGGCTAAAATGCTCAAAGACTTATATTAATATATGTAAACAATACAATTTTTTCAAACAATGATCCATCAGGTTATGCTGCATTTAATGTTAAGCGTTGTTTTATGATAGAGCATCAAGAATTAAAAAAGGAAATTGACAACATGCAAAAAGAATTTTGAATTTTGAATTTTTTGAATTCAATCGTTTGAGTTAATAAAATTGAACTAACTTTTTTTTTTTTATTGCAAAAAACATATCAGTATTGTTTCAACAAAAAGTGGCTTTAATGTGTATTTTTGATGTACCAATAATTTCAACAAAAAGTGGCTTTAAGTGGCGTAAATTTTATTTTTTAATGATAAGTTTTGTAAATAACTAATCATTAAATTCCAAAAATTAGTTCTTATTGTCAGGTTTTTTTTTTACTCAGTTAATGTTATTTTTTAACCTATTTTAAAGTGCTCATATTACCAAGTGGTCTGTGTAATCAGGGCCGGCGCGAGTAGGTGTCACGTGGGGGGAGGGGGTGGGTACCGTTACATTTTGCCGACTAAAAAAAAAAAAAAAAAAGTCCTCGTTTTTCAAAATTTGCCGACTGCCATGACGACATTTGTCAACGGTCTAGATTACCGACTAACCTATATCGAAAGGGTCGACATTTGCCGACTAACTAGTCTAAAAGGGTCAAATTTGCCGACTAAGGGTCTAATTTGCCGACTAAAAATCATTGATGGGGGGGGGGGTGTAACACCCCCCACCCCCCACCCCTATCGCGCTGGCCTTGTGTGTAATATGAGCACTTTTGCTACTTTTTTAAACCTCTGTGTTTTTAATAAAGAATTTCGGGTGCCTAAATATCTAAGTGGATCATGAATAGAGACCCTTAACAATTGTTTATTCGCCAGCATAATTATTTTTGAAAATATTCCAATTATCGCCTAAGGTGCTCATATTACCCTAGTCTACCCTATTTATTATTTTAATATTTTTCGTCTTTTCATAATTTACAGACCTGATCATTTAACGGAAATATGTCGTAGACAAAATATCATACAGACGATATAATATTTCAAAATTGCCTAAACTAAACCGAGGAATCCCTTTTACTACTTTAACATTTTAATATAACTTCCTGGGTCAAGGAAAAGAAAATTTTAAAAAATCATATTATTTTTTTGGCATAATCAATTTTACAGTATTATTTTATAAAATCCCAAAACAATTCTCAACTTAAAATGTTAATGTTGAGAGTTACTTTAGTTTTAACGAATGTTTATTAATGCATTTTTATTAAAGAAATTTTTATAAAAATTAAAACACCTGATTCCTTTAGCACAATGATTTTAATACAAAGACTCGATTATTTTACTTTAATAAAAAAACTTGATTATTTTGCTGATAAAAACAAACTAAGACTAATACTTAGATACAAAAGATATTTTATGATACATAGATCAAGTAGACTTTCAGTTCATATTTAAATACAGTACATGTAGTAGTTTGAAGTTAAAAACTATATCCTAAGTTAATAATAATTATAAAAATAGTAACAATATTATTAAAAATAAAAAAAGAAGCAACAACAACAATTATGATAACAATAATAATAACAATAATAATAGTAACAATAGCAATGATCATCTAATTAAATAATACGGTATATGCTACTGCTCATTCGTGCGTGTTTTGACATGGAACCTTTTAAAGACAAATGGCGAAAAATAGCTGAAGAGAACTTTAATAAAAAGTTTTTCATTGTTTTTTTTATAAGAAATTTTGCAACTTTTTATATTTGCTTACCTGTTTGTCAAAAATATTGTTATATTTAAAGTAATAACTAATTTTTTGTTGTTTCTGAAAAAACTTTTTCCTAGGTTGTTTGATGTGTTAGATCAGATATTATCTGGTGTACACCAGGTATAATTTTTTTCCGAGTGTGGTTTGTACAAAAGAATTATTGTGGTAAAGCTAGCCTAAATGAATCCTTGTGGCAATTATCTAACCTAAAAAAATTTTTTTTTCTCGTTGTTTTTTGGATAACATTATTTAAATTTGTAAGTTTAGCTCATATGAACTTGCTGCTTTAGGTTGAAACTTGTATCTAATTTAATCCATGTCTAGTGTTTTCTAGATCTAATCTGTGTCTAGTGTATCCTAGGTTTAACCTGATTGTATGCGTGGTCATCAGAATCATGTGCAAAGAATCAAAATAAGAAAACCTTAAAATTGATACGAGTATGAGGTTTGAAAATGTCAACCAAGTATGTGATACGGCACCCCAACCAGATATGCTAGTCTGATGAATCAATGTACTGAAATATTGTAAGAGTGTACCTAACAAATTTAATTGGCATAGTGTGTGTTTAATCAATCATTCAATATAAATATAAATTAAATGTATGTTCCAAATTAAATGCAAAATACACATAAATAAATGTATAAAACTAATGAAAAGCATAAATAAAACATAAAAAACGCCACTAGCCAGGAGGTGAAAATCTTGCTGCCGCAGTGTATAATTCAAACGATGTAGTAAGTTATGTGGTAGAAGGTTGGTCTTATAGTTGATATTTTCTGATTAATCAGAAAAATTGTTTCTGTCAAATTTCTGATTGGTTGATTTTCAAAAAAAATAAAATAATAAAAACAAATGTAATAAAAATGTCTTTTAAAATTTTTTAGAGAGAATGTCTCATTTCTTTTGTGAAATTTTTAAAAGAAAATGTTTAATTTCTTTTTTTAAATTCTCTCAATTGAATGTCTCCTTTCTTTTATTAAACTCTCTCGAAAAAATGTCTCTATTCCTTTATAAAAGCCTTTGAAGTGAATGTCTCTTTTTTTTATTAATTTTTTTCATGTGTAAAAAAAAAAATTGCGGATTTGAAATACTACTGTCTAAAAAAAATCTTTTTTTAATAACTTTTGATAAAAAATATAAAAGAACATATATATAATGACAATCATTGACATATTATGACAAGGCTTTGAAATTCTGAGAAAATATTTAAGACTAACAAAGAATTATAAAAATGAAATAAAAAAATACCATTTGTTGGTCTTGCTATATCTATTGATACTTCACCTGTTTTGTTATTAAAGTTTAGTTCTTCACTGCAGTGACCATCTTTTACCAAAACCTCACACATACTGTAATGTCTGTTTTGAACGGCGATGTGAAGAGGAGTATCTCCTTTCTTAATATTAAAAATGATAATGTATTTTTTTCAATAAAATTTTAAAAAATAGAATAAACTTAAAACAGGGTTAAACAAGATTAAACAATTGAAAATCTTTTTATCTTTTTTTTGACATTTTGAACAAGTGCTATTTTAATTTTTCTAAGATTTACAAAAAAAAAAAAAACTATAAATACCAGAACTTATATAACATATAAGTTCTGGTATTTATATTGTAACATATATATACGTATTATAGCATATATATATATACGTATATATATATGTTACAATATATATATGGGTGCTTTCGATGAACCAGAGGTGTGCCAGTCGGTATTTTTCTTGTTTTCCAGATTTTGCAATTTTATAGCAAGTGTGATTTCAGAATATATAAAGATGATGGCGAAAATTATACATTGGTATTAGTGAAAACGCATTCAAGCTTAGGTTTGCAAAACACCTTAAATCCTTTAATGCAACCAAGTACAGAAACGATATGAAACTTTCCAAAAAAATCTGGAAATATAAAGATGCAGGTAACATGCCTATAATAGGGTGAAACATGATTAAAAGATGCCGATTTTACAACCCATCTACAAAAAAGTGTAACCTTTATATTTATAAAAAGGATTTTATTATGACTTTCAATAGTGAATCACTACTGAACAAAAAAAGTGAATTGGTTTCTGCATGTAGGCATAGGAAAAAAATTTACTATCCCACTTTGACTCTGGCCATTAGCAAATATCGGATCACGTGTATTTGACTTCAGATGCTGCTGCAACACTAAATTTGTATATAAACAGTTTTTGTTTTATATTTTTGAATAATATGGCTGATGATTGCCGAAAGTTCCATTATAAAGTTGCATTTTTTCATTTAAATTTAAATATATATTGATATATATATATTGATATATATATATATATATATATATATATATATATATATATATATATATATATATATATATATGTATATATATATATATATATATATATATATATATATATATATATATATATTATATATATTATTTATATATATATATTACACTATATTTTATATATATATATATATATATATATATATATATATATATATATATATAATATATATATATATATATATATATATATATATATGTATTTGACTTCAGATGCAGCTGCAACACTAAACTTGTATATAAACAGTTTTTGTTTTATATTTTTGTTTTATATTTTTGAATAATATGGCTGATGATTGCCGAAAGTTCCATTATAAAGTTGCATTTTTTCATTTAAATTTAAATATATATATATATATATATATATATATATATATATATATATATATATATATATATATATATATATATATATATATATATATATATATATATATGTATATATATATATATATATATATATATATATATATATATATATATATATATTATATATATTATTTATATATATATATTACACTATATTTTATATATATATATATATATATATATATATATATATATATATATATATATATATATATATATATATATATATATATATATATATTATATATATATTATATATATATATATATACTACCGGTCAAAAGTTTGGGTTCATTTGATAAATTTAACATGCAAAAAAAAATTAAGACTTTTCTCATCATAAGTGTTTATTTATACTGTTTATAATAAAATAATCAAATTTTCAGCAAAATAGGAGATTAATTTGCAAATAATAATCAAAGTATATTTTCGATAATTTTTTTTTTAAAAATAGACTTTCTAAATCACTTGCTCAACAAAATATACGACATAAGACTTTTTAAAAAGTCTTTTAGTATTTTTTAAAATTTTCGATTCTTTAAAGTTTCCTCAATTTGCTTTTATAATAGCAGTACATACTCTGTGCATTCTTACAATTAATTTTTGCAATGATTCAGTTGATATTTGATTAGCATCTTTGTATGAGCAGCCAAAGGTGTTTTTGATTAGTTGCATTTTTCTAACATTTTTGTCCACAAAAACTCAATCAGATTTAAATCTGGTGACTGAGGCCATTCCATATATTTTAGTTCATTTTGTTTTTATTTGGCTGCGATATAATTACAACAGAATTTAGACGAGTGTTAAGGATCATTATCCTGTTAAAAAACAAATCCGCAGCCCACAATACTTTTCCCGAATGGAAATGCATATTTTTGAAGAACGTTGTAGTACTTTTTTTATCCATGATGCCCCCAATTCGCACAAGGTCGCCAACTTTTTTTTCAGCAAAACATCCGCAGACAATGATTGACCCACTACCATGCTTAACTGTTGGGATCGCGCATTGTTTTATCATACGTTCTCTAATGCATTGTTTTATCATGCGTTCTCAATGAACATAATGTTAACGATTTCCTCCAAAAATTTCAAACTTTGAATCATCAGTAAACAAGACTTGAGACCATTGTTAAATTGTCTAATATTCATCTTTTTTTGCCCATTTTAATTTTTTAATTTTATTTAACTTGCGTAGTTATGGTTTTTTGGCAACAACGTATCTTTTTAAACCGTAATAGAATTAAATTCTTGGCAAATTTCGGGAGCAGTTCGGGTGCAATTTCTTTTACTTTTACATTTTTTACACATTCATTTTACACGTGGCTCAGCGTTGCTCTAGGCTTTTCTAAACTATGACAATTTTGATTACATCCACTTTCTTGTTTTCTTTGCAATGCTCCCATAACTGCATTTAAAGAAACACTGGTTTTCGAAATAATTTTTTGTGTTGAATAACTTTCCTTGTGTAATACCACAATAACAGCTAGATTTTCAACACTTAGCTCTGCTTTATTACCCATTTTTCGACAATCAAAACAAAAAATATATACTTGTCTTCTATTTCAATACTAGGAACAAATACTTTAAATTCTTTTAACGTTCATAATAATTATTCTATGAACATAACAATATTTAACAAAAACAACGTTTCAATTACCTTTCTGTATAATAAAACTATAAACAACAACAGTTAAAAAAAAAGTTAATTAAGTTAGTTTTGCAGCAAAATATATCCAAATATTATAGTAAAATATACCCAAATATTAAGGCAAAATGTACCTATTATATAAAATATAAGTATTCATTATTTTATTTATCAATATTGATAACCCTACACTCTATGTACACTAATAGATGTGTGAATCTCATTATAATCAAAATGTCAAAATAAATTCTTAAAATTAATGTTACGTTAGTTTTAAATGGTGGGAGCTTCAATTTTTGAAGAAAATGGCATAGAGTTGAAAAGTGAACCCAAACTTTTGACTGGGAGTGTATATATAACAGAAAACATAATAAATTGAGTAAATATGCTTAGCATTGCATACCTCACAAAAATCAAACATATTTTTCAAATAACTATGCATTGATTTTGATAAGTAATTACATTTTGTACCTTGTCAGATGCATTAGAATCAGCCCCATTGGCTAAAAGGACTTTAGCACACTGTGTGTGCTTTTTTTTTGCAGCTCGAATTAACAAAGTCTCTCCATCCTTAAAAAATAATTTGAACATTAAAAAAACAAGTAAAATCTTGAAATTTCATAATATATTTCCTGAAATTTCACAATATGCTTCCTAAAATTTCATAATATGCTTTTTGAAATTTCACAATATGCTTCTTAAAACTTCACCATAAGCTTCTAAAAAACCTATATGAAATATGCTTCTACAAAAATTACAATAAGCTTCTGAAATATTTACAATTTGTTTCCAAAAAATTCATAACATTTTTGAAAAATCAAAAAGAAGTCCACTATTATTCATACTCATCTAGAAAGTACTCAATTTATGAATGTGCTTAGTCTGTAACTTCTTGTTTCTAAAATTTACTCAGTCTACAATTATTTGTGTCTAGAAAGTACTCAGTCTATAACTACTTGTGTCTAGAAAGTACTCAGTCTATAACTACTTGTGTTTAGAAAGTACTCAGTCTATAACTGCTTTTGTCTAGAAAGTACTTAGTCTATAAAAATTTTTGTCTAGAAAGTACTCAGTCTATAACTACTTGTGTTTAGAAAGTACTCAGTCTATAACTACTTGTGTTTAGAAAGTACTCAGTCTATAACTACTTGTGTTTAGAAAGTACTCAGTCTATAACTACTTGTTTCTAGAAAGTACTCAGTCTATAACAATTTTTGTCTAGAAAGTACTTAGTCTATAACTACTTGTGTCAACTCAGCCTATTCATTTTAAGAAAGTACTTAACTCCATTGCCATTACATGTCTACAAGGGTAAGGTGTTACATGTCTACAAGGGTAAGGTGAAAGACTTTTTTTTATTAAACAAAACGATCATAACCAATAAATACTAACTTTATCTCTATGGTTGCAGCTTGCACCATTGTTTATAAGTTCTGTAGCGACATCCAAATGACCTTGATCTACTGCATAGTAAAGTGCTGTTCTCTTTTCCTAAAGTATATTTCTACTAATTTTAAGAGTATTAACAGCAGATAAACATAAAATAAGTAAGTAACAGCAGATAAACATAAAATAAGTAAGTAACAGCAGATAAACATAAAATAAGTAAGTAACAGCAGATAAACATAAAATTAAAAAAGTAAAAGCTGCAATCAAGCAGGACTAAAACACCAATAAAAAAAATTAAAAAAATAGCCATAAAAAAAGATTAAAAAAACTTGCATTATCTGTAGTATCCACTTTTGCACTTGCTGCTAGCAAAATTTTTATTACTGCAGTATGCCCTTCTTTTGCTGCTAACATTAATGGTGTTAGTCCATTCTAGAATAAAAAATCAAATTTTATTAATAACTTTAGCAATGTTTTCATTTAACTGAATTCTTGTATTTATTTACTTAATGATATGCATTATCATAAAGTAAATAAATAGAGTAAATAAAAAGTTTGAAAGTTTGACTTCTGACTTTTTATTCTAACCTTCAGGCAACAAATTTGAAAGTTAGACTCCTGATTTTTTTAGCTTCCATTAAAAAGTTTAGAAGTTTGATTCATTACTTTCACTTATCAACACTTTACGAGCATATTGTGTTGGCATAAAACAAGCTTAAACTAGAAACATACAACAGACTAATTAAAAAAATTTAATACTTCTGTCATAAGACAGACTTGTAGGAGCAGGATTGATGTAACTTCTTTTATCAATATATACCATTATTTGCAGTAATTCTATATTTATTTTTTGATATTGCTGTAATATATCTTATATAGTTATTTTGTGACCATATGAATCAACTATCTGTTACTGTACAATGTTAAAACTGTGTAGAAAATGAAAAATGAAAAGAAAAATTAAAAAAAAACATAAAGATTGTTCACTACATTGATCATTTTCATTAAAGATCATTATTAAAATTCATTGATGATTGATCAATAAATCTTAATCCAGACATGATGTCTATATCTGGAAAGAACAGAGAAAAAAATTATCATGTGTGGTGTGATTCTAAATGATATGAAAAAAAGAAATAGACAGATGTTGGAAATAGTGATTGTATCTATAATAGTGACTGTATATATAAGATAGTGTGGGCATGAAGCATATAAAGATGCAGATTATTGGTTATCCACATGTAGAGAGTTATTAGTTATCCACATGTAGAGAGTTATTAGTTATCCACATGTAGAGAGTTATTAGTTATCCACATGTAGCGAGTTATTAGTTATCCACATGTAGAGAGTTATTAGTTATCCACATGTAGAGAGTTATTAGTTATCCACATGTAGAGAGTTATTAGTTATCCACATGTAGAGAGTTATTAGTTATCCACATGTAGAGAGTTATTAGTTATCCACATGTAGAGAGTTATTAGTTATCCACATGTAGAGAGTTATTAGTTATCCACATGTAGAGAGTTATTAGTTATCCTCATGTAGAGAGTTATTAGTTATCCACATGTAGAGAGTTATTAGTTATCCACATGTAGAGAGTTATTAGTGAAAGGAGAAAAGTTGGAAGTAAAAGTAGAAATAATTTAAAATAACATTTAAAAAATTCAATTAAGTAAAGATGATGCTCAAAATTGTTTATAATGAAGAAAAGACATGAGAAACATTTAACCATCCAGAATGCTAAAATGATGATGATGATGATGATGATGATGATGATGATGATGATGATGATGATGATGATGATGATGATAATGATTGAAAGGTTTCTCTAACGCTGGTGGCTCTCAACATAGTAATAACCAACCAGGCTAATGTTTTGCCAGGGCTGATGTTTAGGCATAGTTGGGGAACTGGATTTAAAAAGAATAACATTAAACAACATAAAACAAACCTATATGATTGGTGCTGCATAAATATTAACTCTGTATACATATTAAATATGTATATATGTATAAAATAAATTGGTGTGTTAACCAGGATATAAATTTTGGATATAAATTTCAACGTTTTGCGCAAAATGGCTGTTTTTTATGAATTGGGAAAATTTCATGTCTTGGCTAGAATTTTTTTTTAGAAAAAAGGTTCCCCAAAATAAAGGAAAAGGTTCTCTACAATTGGGAAAATCCCTCATTATATACCATTGGAAATGGTTTGGTAAATGGACTGTATAGAGGCTAGTTAACACATTGTATATTTAATTTTACTGTATATACTTTAGTACTTTATATATAAATACAAAAAAAATGTTTTACTTTATCTGGTATGTTTACTTGAGCACCATTTTCCAATAACTTCGATACAATTTCAGAATATCCTTCAACAGCTGACCAAGATAAAGCTGTTCTTCCATCCTATAATAAAGTAAAAATAACAAAGCACATAAATACATCAGATCTTAAATTTAGTAAAAGAACCAACCAATGTTACAGTATAAAAACTTTGATTTTCTGAACTTTGTTTTTATTTTATTATGTCTTTGGACATCAGTTTGCTTCTTTGATATTTCTATTTAAAATTATTTTTAAAAATATTTTTAAGAGAGATTTTATTTAAGAGAGATTTTATTAATTACATACTAGATGCTAAATCTTCAGCAGATCTATGATTCATGTGTTTTTGTTTTGTAATAACTAATTATTCTTTACTATGGAAAAGATTTAAACAGTTTGATATAATTATGTTTTAATATCAGAAAAATTATTATAAGACATTGTGAGAGGCATGAGCATGAATAATAAAAAACATTGTGAGAGACATGAGTATGAACAAAACATTGTGAGGAGCGTGAGTATGAATGTGAGAGGAATGAGTATGAACAAAACTTTTTATAATCTAATTGTAAAAAATATTTTTTATTTAATTTTTTTATACACCTAGTTATAAAAATTTTCATTTTTGCAAAGAATGAATGAATTAAAACTTTATTGCAAAAATAGTATATTAATAATTTCTGGGTTTTTAAAACTTTACTAAAACTATTTTAATGGTCTTAAATTTCACAAACACAGCTAAAAATATTTAAAAATTTGAAAATGATGTCTTTATAAAAACCTAACGATCCGTCAAAAAATTTACAATTCCATAACTATGTGCTTTTGCAATCAAGAGTTAATTATATATTTTGTAATTCTGCATTTATTAAAACATTCAATTTTATGTGAAAGTCTACTGTTTTTATTTTAATGTTCTAATAAGAAAAACCAAGTTTTAGAAAATTTTGCAGTTCATTGTTTTTATAAAATTTAGTTCACCTAAGGTGCTCTAAGATATAAACTTTAAGAATTTTATTTATAACCTTATGTATATAAAATTCTAACTATATATTCTGATTATGCAAGTATTGAAAAATATAATATTTGAAAATTTTTGCTTTCTTTTATATATTACTGCTTTACTTAAAAAGAAACACATAATATAAAATACATAAAACATGTTATTATATATATATATATATATATATATATATATATATATATATATATATATATATATATATATATATATATATATATATATATATATATATATATATATATATATATATATATATGCGGTAGTGGTGTAGTGGTAGAGCGCTCGCTTCATAAACGAGTGGTTCTGAGTTCGATCCTTTACTTAAAAAGAAACACATAATATAAAATACATAAAACATGTTATTATATATATATATATATATATATATATATATATATATATATATATATATATATATATATATATATATATATATATATATATATATATATATATATATATATATATATATATATATATATAATATGCGGTAGTGGTGTAGTGGTAGAGCGCTCGCTTCATAAACGAGTGGTTCCGAGTTTGATCCCCACCACGTCCCTGGTAGTACCGTGCTCAACTCGTTTCTCCGCGCAGCGGCCTTGCTCGTCAAGGTTCGTGTTTCGGAGTTATAGAGTTGAAAGAGGGTTATAACCACAAATAAGTAGCCTCCTCATCTGTAGTGGCCTTCTCGGCCTTGAGGAGGTGAATTATAAAAAAAAATATATATATATATATATATATATATATATATATATATATATATATATATATATATATATATATATATATATAGCAATAACATTTTTAATGCAAAAAAAAAGAATTAACACTCCTGAGATCTGAATTATATTATAAAACGCAAGCTTTATAAATTTATTATTTTTACTTTGCAATTTCGAATTGATTTTTTTTATTACTATTATGCGCTGTTAGTTTTTTATATCATAAAAAACAAATAATGAAAGAAGGTTTGGAAAAATTTATATTTATCTTTTGTTAGTTTTTTACGATATAAATATTGGTATGAAAAAAGTGAAAAGTGGTGCAACTAAAAGAAAAAAAAAAGCTGCAGCCAAGGAGGAAATCACAAAATACCCCAAACTAAGACATTTTTTAAAACCAACAGTTTAGCCTGGAAGTGTTTTGACACCAACAGAAACTACAAATAATTCAGATTGTCATTATTTGAATACTAGAGTAAGATAGGTTGATATGTGAGTCTACATCAAATGGCATAACAAATGTGCAGTGCACATTTTAAGTACTTTGAACACTGGATGACTTAACGAAAAGGTTAACTCATATTTCTTTTAATTTATTGAATTGTTACTTTTTTTTCCTAATTAATTTTTTCCCCTCAATTTTGGTAATGCAGACATTGCAAATCAAGCTACCATAGACGAGCAACAACAAAGGTTGCTCGTCTATGCAGTGCAGTGTTAGAAAGGATACTGGACATTATCTTATTTCTTTCTGCAAGAAATCTTAAGTTCCATGGTTCAGACACAGCCATTGGTTCAAAGAGCAATGGAAACTTCCTTAGGGTGTTAGAATTACTGGCTAAGTACGATACCATTCTCAATAAGCTTATGCAAAGAACTCAGAACAAGAAACCAAGGAGCACTATTTGAGCAATGACACACAGAACGAGGTTTGAGGAGGAGATTGAATCCAAAAACCTGTCTAAGGTAAAAAAAGCAAAATATTATTCTAATATTTTTGATTGTATGCCATGCATTTCGCACAAAGAACAAATGGGCATTGGTCATCAATCAGTGCAATTTTTTTTTTGGTGTTCTTTCAAGGTTATATACACTCTTTTCGCAAAAATGGATTTTCCGACGCACGTTATAAGGTATCAGAAATCACAGAAGTATTTGGCATTGAAAAGGTTTTTCCAATAATACGTGTATGAAAAAATGTTGATTTATTCATATGATACGTGTTGATCACACTCAGCAACCTGAATATCAGTATAAAGCAGATTTTTTTTTGCCATTAATTGATATGTCAATTGCATCAGTAAAAGAGCGTTTTGAACAGATCAGCATTGTCACAAAGCTTAATGACTTTCTTTACCAATCTGAGAGTCTATATTGCAAAAGTTAGCAAATGAAGTTTGGTGATATAGATTTTGAGGATTTAGAAATGGAGTTAAAACAATTTATCATAGTTAACAAGGAGGAAAAAAATGCCTCAAAGAAGAGCTGCAAAAAACTTATCCTAATCTAGTTGTTGCGTTACGAATCATTCTTACTTTATCAGTTACTGTTGCAAGTGCAGAACGTAGCTTTAGCAAGTTAAAACTAATTAAAACTTTTTATAGGTTAGTATAAATAATCTTGCTTTATTATACATAAATACATGTAGCTATATTTCTTTTTATCTTTAAATAGGTCAGTAATGGTCGATGAACACTTGTCTTCTTTAGCAACGCTGTCAATTGAAATCAAGATCAATCAACGCTGTCAATTAAATCAAGAAAATTAAGTTATGAAGGCATAATAAATGATTTTGCAAGCATGAAAACATTTCACAAACCCTTTTTTTGATGGTTTGTGATGTAATTGTATTATCTGCATAATATATTAACAGTATTTTAAAAAACTCTTTACTAGTAAACTCTATATCAATTTAACAATTATAAAATATATTTAATTGAATTTAAGCGTTAATTTGATTGTTTTTAGTCTTATGAGCGACAACGTTAAAATATGTCAGGTACCCTGCTTTTCGGGGTAACCTGTAAATTTTATCCACTTTTTTAGAAAAAAAAAAATTGGGGCCCAAATGGCTAGAATTGGGGGAGGGGGGCTCCAGACCCACTTGCCACAGTGCTGATATATATATATATATATATATATATATATATATATATATATATATATATATATATATATATATATATAATATATACATATATATACATATATATACATATATAAATATATATATACATATATATATATATATATATATATATATATATATATATATATATATATATATATATATATATATATATATATATATATACATATATATATATATATATATATATATATATATATATATATATATATATATATATATATATATATATATATATATATATATATATATATATATATATATATATATATATATATATATATATATATATATATATATATATATATAGCTACTAAGTAGATTTCACAACAGTCTAGAAAGCATAGAAATAATTTTTAAAACAATAACTTTATTATTATTGCAAACTAATTTTATCATGAAGAGTATTAATTAAAGAATAATATTTAAACAAATTGTGTTTATATCTGCATGTCATATCCAGAAAAATAATAATTTAATTTATAGATTCTCTGGATGATTATTAACACATTCTAAGATAAAAATGTTACGTCTTCAAACATACTAAGAAAAGAAAATAACCTGGTCAATAGCATTTACATTCAACTTTTGCTCTAACAAAAGAACCACCATTTCTGTAAACCCACCCTTTGATGCCATTATAAGAGGAGTCCATCTATGCTGCAAAAAATATATATATATTTATAGATACATATTTGTATATTATAATGTTTCAGAGAATATTGTATATTTATTTTATAGTATATACTATATACTTTTATAGTATATAGTATATATTAGTTAATGTTTTATACTTATCAGTATAAAACATTAACTAATAATATTCTGATTTTATGTCCTATAAAATCAGAACACTACTGATGAGTCCTAAAGGACCAAAGAATATTGTCTAATGTTGGTTATAGCTCCTAAACTTTTTTTTTTGTTGAGCACTCTCTTTATGAGATGTGTCTTGCTGTTTGTGTAAATGCAGGCCCACTAATTTATAGTTTGAGCACTTTGATATGGGACAACAAATCTTTTAAATTGCTTTAAATCAGTTTTCGGATTCTTTTTATTGCTGAGATTTAGCCCCATAAAATCATAACAATACTTATGTTATTTGATTATATATATATATATATATATATATATATATATATATATATATATATATATATATATATATATATATATATATATATATATATATATATATATATATATATATATATATATATATATATATATATATATATATATATATATATAGCTGAGTGTGTGTGTGTGTGTGTGTGTGTGTGTGTGTGTGTGTGTGTGTGTGTGTGTGTGTGTGTGTATTATAAATAGGTAGAACATGGAAGGAGTGCCAATACATTGACTAAAAGTTTAGGTTGAGGCAGCAATCTTTTCTCAGTATTCTTCATTTTTTACTTCTTTTTCTAAATAAGCCAAATGGAATTAAGTACCGAAAAAAGTTTACAAATTTAAATCTATATACATTATAGATATATAAATCTTTAAATCAATATACACTATATATATATAAACATTCGGAATTAGGAAAATTGAGGTCGGCAATAATTTCCCAACCTTATAAAAAATAGGTCGGTATCAGGCCGGCAAATACAAAGGTCTTACCATAAAATATTGAAACAAGGTCGGCAAAACGGAATTTTTTTAGCCAACACAAACAAGTTTAGGTGGGTAGTTAGGTTGATATATATATATATATATATATATATATATATATTATATATATATATATATATATATATATATATATATATATATATATATATATATATATATATATATATATATATATATATATATATATATATATATATATATATAGAGAGAGAGAGAGAGAGAGAGAGAGAGAAAGAGAGAAAGAGAGAAAGAGAGAGAGGGAGAGAGAGACACACAAACATAAATATGAAATATTTAATTTAATTACTTTTTTTTTTTTACTATGATAATGTAACTTTTTGCATAAAACGTGTTGGTTCTTTGTAAAACATGTGTTTGCATAAATTTATAATTCAACAACACAATTAAAAAAGGCAACTTTTTGAAATAACTGATTTTTCAAAAAAAAACAAAAAAAAATTAAAATAAAAAACAATAAGATATTTTTTAAGTTTTTCACATCAAGACAACATATGTACAAGTTCTTTGTAAAATTGTAACTTAAGAACAAAAAGATATTAGAAAATCTTTATTCAGTTTGTTTTGAAAGATCTGCAGTAAAAGAAAAATTTGCAACAAGAAAAAGGTATTTAGCAGAAGGATGAAAAGTTAGAAAGAAAAAGGTCTCACCTTATCACTTATTTGATCATCATTTCCAGCAGTTGATTCTGATGTACACGAATTTGTACTCATTACAATATTTTTAATAAAAATTCTCAAAAATTATATTTTTAAGAATATTAAAGTTTTTAATAATAAAAATTATAAGCACAAAATTTTTTAGCATTACACAAAAATATATTTAAAAAATAAGCTAATTATGGAATTAAATTAATAAGAATAACATTATTATTGTTTTTAAAACAATATTGTTATTGTTTTTAAAACATTAGCCTATTTTGAGCTTTTTTAGGATGAACACAATAGTTAGGGTGAAAGCACAAAATAAACTTATTTTTTTATAAAGTTTATCTTTTATCTTATTAATTTTAATTTTTTTTTACTTAATATAAATATTATATAAAATATATTTATTTAAATAAACAGTTTTTTGTAATAATCAAAATTCCCATAGAGTTATTGTTTAGTAATCCTTATGAACGAAGATCGTTATCAACTGAATACTCAAAAACATCTCAATTCTTTGACATTTTTGACTTCTTTAAATTTAAATCTTTATAGATTATGTTTTAAATAGTACAATGAGAACTTAAAGAAACTTTGTTAATTAAAATTGTTGTTTATGTGGAAAGCACAACAATGTAAGTGTTGCCATGACTACTTATTGTTACTTTGGCTACTTAATCTTAAACACTTAATACAGAAACAAAAAGAGTTTGTCATAATGTCATTGTTAATTAAGATATGTTAATTAAAATAATTTGTTTTCTTTTTAAACAAGTTTTTAGATTAAAAATTTAACTTATTTGATTTTATTATTTTCATCATTTATTAAACTTTAAAAATGAAGTCATAAAAAATATGAAAAATGATATATTAAATGTTTATAATATGTTTAATGTTTTATAATAATATCAATATCAACTCAATCAACTTATGGCATCTACTAAACAAATTTAAAAGTTAATAATGTTGTTAATGTTATTTAAACTATTTATTAATATAAATAGTTTAAATAACATTAACAACATCATTAACTTTTAAACAATTATTTCTATAAAAAAATAAAGAAAAGTTGGTATTAAGTTATCTTTAAAAAATAAATTTCATTATTAATAAAATGGCAAGGTTACAAATGTCATTTTTATCAAATCTTGTAACAAGAATATTTAGTCTCATTGCAAGTACAAGAAACAATTCCAACAGTTGTATAGAAAAACACCATCCAAATTGCCACTTAAATATTTTGTGGTCCTATCTATTCAAAACAGCAGCAACAACTAATAATAAAACAGCTTGGCATCAAGTTATGTACTGTGTTTTATTTGAGTATGAGTTATATACTGTGTTTTATTTAACTGGAGACAAATAAACCAACTTGTTTCAACTAACAGAAGAACAAACAACAAAATTACACTACAAAAATAGCATAACCAACTCATGAATTGAACAGACAAACAAGTTTCAGTGCCGTACACAAACATAACACATACCATAAAACTGGTATGAGTGCCCAAACATAATACATACCATAAAACTGGTACGAGTGCCCAAAACTAAAATTTATTTAACATAATTGAGTTAATCAACAAAATCGGGAAACAAATGCAATAAAACATTTTTTTTTGTTTAGAGAAACTATTGAGATGAAAAAGAAATAATGCTGTAACCAATAAAGATAATTTATTGTTTTTAATGTTGACTATTTTTTAAAGTTTTATTTTCTTCACACACACACACACACACACACACACACACACACACACACACACACACACACACACACACACACACACACACACAAAAAAAAAAAAGAATCTTTACACAATAAAAAATTATTTGTGGTGTCTTAAAATAAATTAATGTGTTTGGTGTTGTTAGGACTAGCTAAATTTCTTATTAAAAACATATTTTTGCAACACATTTAATATTTTTTAAACAACTTTCAAATAAAATAATAACTCTTCAAGGTTGCTTTGTAATATTTAAGTCTATCTTTTGGCATCAAAAAACATTAAAATATAGCATCATTAGCGCTAGTTGCAGGTATGGTATTTCTCTGCTCAGTGTAACCATGGTGACGGCACTGGGTATAAGGAGGAAGGGGCTAGCGGAACAAATATTGCATATGGCACTCTGTTTATTACTACATTTTTTTACATGGATGCACATGATTTGGATGTTTCGTGGATGTTTCATGGATGCACATGATTTGGATGATTCTAAAAGGTCTTCAACAAACATCATTTAAAAGATCTTCGACAAACATCATCATTTAGTAAATTTAAACAAAACCTTGAAAATAATTTCTAACTGTAAAATTTTTAAACTGTAAAGCTTAAAATTACATACTGATGAAAAAAGGACACATGGATAAATATAGGAGACTTATTGATGGCAGTAATATTATATACTTAAATGTTATATTTTAAACAAAATGTTGCATCTAAAAAAAATATGAAAATATTTTGTCAAACCTTTTGTATTCTTCCTAAAAAGCACTAAATGCACAAACAGCACTAAATGCACAAACAGCAAAAAGAAGAAATTCAGTTGTTGGTTGACAGTTATGTTATAGACAAAACCAGGTGAAAATCAAAAGCTTGCATGATTCACCAATGCAATAGATGTCCTGGCATACAAGCTGTCCAAACTTATTTCCAGCAGTATCTAACACAAAATGATGATTCAAAAGAGCAATATGACAGTGGTGAAATCGAACAGTCAGTGGATTTCAAACAGTGAACAACAACAGATAGGACCAAACTATTAACAATAAAACTTCCCATGAATGAACTCATAGAGCTCCTGTGTGAAAAACTTGTTAACATTACTTCTCATTCATATATAGCAAAATCACAATCTAGCTATCTAAAGCATCTCAAAGAAACAATTAGTATTGATGAGGCTATTGTACTAGCAGATTTTGTACATAACAAGATACAGAGTTACCATTGGAGCAAGAGTCAATGTTCTCTTAATCCAGTTGTCAACTACTACAAGAAAGTTAAAATGGAAAAATCTTCTTTTTGTGTAATTTCAGATGATTGGAATCATGATGTTGGATTTATCAATGAAGTTATGCATAAAACCATAAATCATATAAAAACTCATCTTTGTCCTGTAATTACAAAAATTCATTATTTTTCTAATGGCTGTGCCGCGCAGTATAAAAATTGCAAACATTTTTACAATTTATGCCACCATGTTCAAGATTTTTCTGTTTGGTGCATCTGGAATTTCTTTGCAACAAGCCATGGTAAATCTCTATGCGATGGAATAGGTAGCACTGTTAAAAGGCTCAGTACCAAGTCTCAAAAGAAGATGAAACTCTACTTAAACAGCTTTTATTCTGTCAGCGAAAGTTGATGAATATTTAACTTTCTTTATTTAAATGATATAAACTTCAATTTTAGTAATATTTTCTTATTCCTTTTTCTTTTTATTTTTGAGCTTTTTACAATAAAGCAGAATTTTTACTATTTTTCAAAAAAGTTTGCATTTTAGTTTCTTATTTTTAACATAACATTTGAGCATGCAGTCTAATATTAAAGCATGCAACCAATATTTTGAAACAATACTTAATTAATAGACAAAAAGTAATAATGTTAAGTTAAATTATTATAATTAATACAGAATTTATATTTTCAATGTGTTGTATAGTAAATTATATTTCCATGTATACTTTTGAAAATATTGAAAATTATTTTCGTTCAGAGACCTTAACTTTTCTAAGACCTCTTATTTCACAATGAGAGTAAGGCAACTCCAGAAAGTGACATGTAAACCATGGTTACAAAATAAGAAAGTGACATGTAAACCATGGTTACGAAATAAGAAAGTGACATGTAAACCATGGTTACGAAATAAGAAAGTGACATGTAAACCATGGTTACAAAATAAGAAAGTGACATGTAAACCATGGTTATGAAACAAAAAATTTGACTGCTGATATTTTAAAATTAAAAAATTATTCTTAAATATTAGGAATTGGGTTAATTTCTCTTTATCTTTGTACTCAATATCTTTAAATTTGGTCAGGTACCAATTTTCAATCATATTTCTCCACTAGAACTGAAATTATTCACACAAAAAGTATCACTAAAAATTCTATAATGGAGAATTTTTAGTGATCCAACCGTTTGGATTTGGGAGCTCAAGTTTTATATTTTTTCATGTTTCATTTTAATGTACTACTGGTTAAAATTTGAAGCAAATCCAAAAATTGACTGAAATGACTGTCCCAGTTTTAAATGGAATTACCCATTAGATTATCAAAAAATAAACTAAAAAAATAAAAATAAAACAATTTAAACCTAAAATTAATTAGAACCTTTTTAAAATATTTACATAAAAACATTTTACATATAAACAATTACTAACTGCCCAAGTTAAACTGTATTTCTTGTTAACTGTTAAAAAAAATCTAAAAACATTTAACTCTTCTATGATATCTTATGGCCATTTTCAATTAATCAAACACTTCAACTTCAATTAAATAATCAAGCTTAATAAATGAGGTTCAGGATTACTTGATTAAATAATTAGGAATAATTGATTGTTCTAAATATTTTTTAGATGTGAGCAACATTCAAAAGTTGAAATTATACCCAGCATGTAAAAAAGATTTGTACTTTACTATGATAAGCAAAAATGAATCAAAATAAAAGGATCATAAAATAGTTAAATAAAAAATATAAATCAATAGTTAATAAATGTTACCGTTCCAGCAACATCACAGCTAGCTCCTTTCGAAATTAATATCTTAGCTACTTCTAAATGACCTTTTCGACAAGCCCATATCAATGCAGAAGTGCCATACTGAAACCATATAAACAACTTGTAATGTTAATTTTGTTTGTAATAATAATAAAAATACTAAACTTATGTTAATAAACTTCTATTCGTTTGAATTGAAAGTATTAAATATCAAAAGAAACAAAAAAAAACTTATTGCAGTATAATTTTTATGAACCACCTTAACATATTAGTTATATATACACTTACTTTTACAGATTTATTCAATATTTTCAGAAAAAAAAACAAGAAAAAAACAGAGTTGAAAAAAAAGAGATTTTTTGCTGTAATAAAAAGTTTTCATATCTAGATAATATCAAACCCTCAGTGGATGTACACTTACCTCAGTGGATGTACTCTTACTTTAGTGGATGTATTCTTACCTCAGTGGATGTACTCTTACCTTAGTGGATGTACTCTTATGAGGGGTCCTTATAAACGTAAGGGTATATTTTTAAAATTTAATTAATGGGGTAAGTGTCTATTTATATGGTAAGGTAAGGATTTAAAAAAACTTCAAACTTCTAAAAACATGAACACACCATAAAGATATTTATGGTTCTTCTTCCCTTCTTTTTCTCCTCATTATTTTTTTCAACATCTTAATGGTGTTAGCACTTTTTTTTTCGACATCTTAATTGCGCCAGCACATAAAATTAACACAAACTAAAACATTTGGAGAATGCTTTAAAAAAATAACTTACAAAAGAATTCTATTTGTAGTTTTATATTCTTAAATCAAAAAAGTTTTTAGTTGTTTTCTTAAATTTTTATCTATGCTGGAGAGACTTATGTTTCTAGTTGTTTTCTTAAATTTTTATCTTTGATGAAAAATTGAATAAACAAATAAAATTTCCTAATATTTCTAAAAGATGCTCACTTTATTTATAAAAAATTACAATTTTACCTTAAAAAAAATCTTACCTTAAAAAAAATCTTAGCCTGAGGAATTTTTAAATAATACCAAAATTAGTTTTTTCTTAAGAAAGAGTTAGATGGGAAAGAAAACTTAAGAGAGAGTTAGATGGGAAAGGAAACTTAAGAGAGAGTTAGGTGGGAAAGAAAACTTAAGAGAGAGTTAGATGGGAAAGAAAACTTAAGAGAGAGTTAGATGGGAAAGAAAACTTAAGAGAGAGTTAGATGGGAAAGAAAACTTAAGAGAGAGTTAGATGGGAAAGAAAACTTAAGAGAGAGTTTGATGGAAAAAAAACTCAAGAGAGAGTTAGATGGGAAAAAAAACTTGTTGATGCTGATTAAAGTTTCATACATTTAAACACTCATCAGTCATATACTTTAAATCAATAATTAGAAAAACTTTAAAATATTAGGATTAAAAATTAAAACTTTAAAATATTAGGATTAAATATACAAATCAAAAATGGAATAATTTTTGATATCAAATAACATAAGAAAAAAACATCTTAACTAACCACCAGTGTCAAAGTGTGAGGAGGGAGAAAATTGATTCTATATGTAATTAGAAATAATTTCACTCCTTTCATTTAACAGGTTTGTATTTATAATTGATACATATTTTCATATTTTTAATTGAGGCATATTTACAAGATTTAGTTGTTAGATTGTATGCTTTATACTGTCTATGAATTTAAATAATGGAATTTAAATAAGCTTCTTTTACCCACCAAAAAAAATTGCTTTTTAAAAATGCAATAACACCTTGATTAGCCAATATTTATAACTAGATTCTATTAAGATATTAAAGTACTTTTAAAATTGTTTTGATCAATGAATTTACAGACAATCTGTGCTTGTTATCTAAGGTTTTAAAGTGAAGTAATTTATTATTAAATGAATATTTATAAAATAAATGTAAATTACTAAAATATGTTAAATTAAATAAAAAAAGTTCTAAAAACTACTTTGTCAGCAATTTCAACTTTTGCGCCATGTTGAACAAGTACTCGTACAACTTCTGAATGACCTCGACCAGATGCCCAAATTAAAGGAGTCATTGAATACTAATAAAAATAATCACATATGTATATATATATATATATATATATATATATATATATATATATATATATATATATATATATATATATATATTTATTTATTTATATATATATATTTATAACTATCTTATAAATAAATATCTGACGTAAAAAAGTTATCAAACTAAAACTTCATTTATAGCTTCGATTTCGTACATGTTCGATCACATTCTATTAATTGATGACTATTATATTCAAAAATTCAAAAATCATAACGTTGGAATCAAATATTATTTGTCAAAAAGTTAAATATTTTTACTCATATCTTTGAATCGGCTTATGTTAAAGTCTATTTATTAAAAAAGTTAAAGCTAAATGAAACTAAAAATTAATAAAAAAGTTTCAATAAACAATAAGTATAACAAATATATTTGTTATATAACTTTGAAACATTTGGAATCGCAAGTTGAAACTTTTGGAATCACAAAGAACAAAAGAAAAAATGTAACACCACTATTTTCACAAAACGTATTTCTCAAAAACATGTCAGTATATAAGTTATTTATATATTATATTTGTGTAAGTATATATATTTTTCCATTAATATATATCATATTAATATAAGTTTTTATAAATTTATAAAAACATTGTGTCTAGCGCAACGTTACCGTTGCTTTAATTTTTTAAAAGAATTGCAACAATAAATTTTGCATTTAGCATTGTGGTATTTCATTTCTTTATTTCTCACAGTGATCCGAGATCAAACCCTACATCCAGAATAATGATTTCAAATGTTTTTTAACAATTTTTATATCGAAAGTTATTATTATTGTTGTATATTGAAAGTTACATTAATGTTTATTATTTACAAACATTAACTGATATATGGATAGGCGCAGTGAGTGTACATACATCCACTGATTTAGGGATAGGGGCAGTGAGTATACATACATCCACTCATTTAGGGATAGGCGCAGTGAGTGTACATACATCCACTCATTTAGGGATAGACACAGTGAGTGTACATATATTAGTTAAGGGTTTTGGTATTTGCATGCATTCTTTAAATAAAAGAAGAAAAAAAATCAACCAATTAGAAATCACAATCGTGACTTTAAGAAAAGAACTAAAGCGATGGTACCGTTGCGCGAGCAACAGCGTTATTAAAAATACAATCAAGTATATAAAAAATTATTCACTTTATAATAATTAAATCACACATTCAGTTTAAATTAGAATTTAGTTTTCTGTTTTGTACAAACAATGTATAGAAAGTTATTAAGTCATTACTGATAACAGATAGAATAGAATGTTTACTTTTTTCAAAACGTTTTGTACCAATGAGAATAGAAAATTTAAATCAAAAAATTAAAACTTGATAGAATTTTGAAAAAAACAAAAGTTTTAATCCACAAGAATTTTTTAATTTTTCACACATCTTTTGTAAATAAAAGAAATATTCTTAATCTTTTTATTTTTTATTTTTAACTATTATTTATTTCAAATTAAATTAAAAAAGCAAGCATGTTTTTTTTTTTCTTGTAAATGTCTTTACTTCTAACAAGGCTGCAAGCAACCACTAATTAGAGTTTGAAGTTACTGGAAGAGAAAAGATGAAGACTGTAGAGCAAGATAACAATTGACAGACAACTTAAAAGATTGCAAATTATATGAATCAGGAAAGCAAGATGAAGGAAGCGAATTACAAAGAACTGCAAAGAACTGATGTTCGAGAAAAAAAGCTAGAGGAATAAGAGTTTTGGAGTACTTAGGAACAGTCACAGAAAAAGGATGAGACTTTATTGAATGACGAGTAACACAAGAATGAATTTTAGTAGATGGTACAAGAGACGCTAGAAATGCCCATTATAGTGTTTATAGAAAAGAGAAAGAGAAGCAACATTACGACGATGTGAAAATGGTTGAAGGTTGGCTGCAAGAACAGGTCCAACTATGTTTACAATGTGTTTTTGCACCTTGTCTAAAAGAGAGAGGGCATCATTAGAAGATCCGCCCAGATATGGCAACAGTATTCCATACAAGGCCGGATTTGAGATTTATAGAGATAGAGAATAGAATCAGGAGTAAGAAAATATAGAGCTCGATAAAGAGATGCAACCTTAGCAGATGCTAATTTTGCAGCGGACTTAATATAAGTAAGAGTTAATCCTAGAAGATGATGGGTAGATGACTCATCAAGTACATTACTGTTCATAAATATAGGAAGGTATAAATTATTGCGATAACAATTGGCCGAAAAAAATTGAGTTTTATCTGAATTAAAGTTCACCAGCCACTAAGAGCCCCATGCTGTAGCAGAAGTGAGATCCTTTTCAAGCTAAAATGCTCCCTCCAAGCAATCAGAGAGTGTTGGCTTCTTTATATGACAAGAATAAATAATAGTATCATCAGCAAACAATGCCACCTTAGATGTGAGGATATCTAGAAGATTGTTAATGAATAATGTTAGTTCAACTCCAATAGGAAACAATGTTGTCATATTATGTTATGTCATGTTATGTTGTCAACTTTTAATAAATGGAGATATTTCATTGTTTTTATTTAGTATTAAAGCTGCAGTAACATATTTTTAAGATTAGATAGACAAATGCATTAACTAAACAACACAAACTCAGATTATACTTTTCAAAAGCTGTGTACATGCTTTGTGTTAAACTTTGAATGCATGTCAGACTTAGGTACACGATGGACCTATTTTTATGGTTTTTGTTTACAAATATCATTTTATCAATTTTATTGTTGTGAAAGAACAAAGACAAAAGTTAAAAAACAAAACTGTTTTAAGATCAGTAACAATTATCTGCAATATTGGAAAACATTAGTTTGTTTTCTAGTGTCAAAAACCATAAATTTGCAAATGATGATATAATATAAGATAAAATAATAATGAGGAAATATAATTCCTTATTACTTTGCTTATTTAAACCATTTTATGAATTTTGTGGAAGAAGATGCTAAAATTAAAAAAACTTGTTTTCTGTCAGTGTTGCTCACAAAAACAAATGTTAACAAAAGCAGAATTTTCTTTTAGTCATATAAAACAAAACAAAAATTATACAAAACATATATATAAAAAAAAAATTCATACCTGTCCACGCTCATTTGGATTAGCTGCATGCAAAAGAAGCTGACGAACAACTTCTGTATTTCCTTTGTAACTGGCCCAGACTAATGGTGTCCAACCACCCTAAAAATATTCCATAAATATTAACCAGTCTATGTGTAACCAATAGAAATTTTTTCTTTAATTTTTTTAAACTTTTAATAATAACGAAGAATCACCAAATCTGTGATGAACTTTGCACCATGGTCAAGAAGAAGAGTAACTATCTCAATGGAACCTCGCTTCGCTGCTTCAATTAATGCTGTTCGACCATCCTAAACCAAATTGCTAATTTAAAGAGAATTAAAATTTTAATTGTTTTTAAAACTTAATTCCAAAACCATTCCTATACTTTAATTATAAACCGTTATAAATTTAATTGTAATAATTGTAAAGTATTCTCATACTTTAATAATTGTAAACCATTTACTTTAATAATAAAATTTTCTTAAGTGTTGCAAGTTAAGTTTATTACCTCATCCCTATGGTTAACTTCAACATCATGATTCAACAACTCTCGAACAATATCTACAAACCCTTTCTCGGCAGATAAAATTAGAGCAGTTTGACCATTCTATAAATTTAGAAGTAAGTTACTATTTTAATAAGATAAAACAATTTAATAAATTCTAAATGATAAATTTGTATTAATAAACTTACAGAGTTTTCCTGATTTAAATTTTCAATTTTAGAAATACACTTTAAAACAATAGACAAGTTTCCACCTTCTACAGCCTTAAACAACTGATCTTGTGTATTTTCCTCCATCATTTCTATTTTTAAAAATTTTGCATCACACTATATCCTTGGCCTCACATCAAGATTACAAAAATCATTTCAATTTTTTTTTTTTTAATTTTATAACAAAGCAATAAGTAATGATACATTTACAAATGTTTATAAATTTACAAAAGTAATAAAATTTACAAAAGTAATAAAAACTATAAATGACAACTAGACAACAATCCTACTGTATTGAAAAAAGTTATTTCAATTTCTCAGATGTGTTTGGAAAACATGGTGCTAAAGAAAAAAAAAGAAGAACTATTTAATGAACTCTCTCATGTTTATTATTTGTATTACTTCAACAAGTTGAAAAAAATAAAAAATAAACAGGTATATTAAAAAATATATATAATTTGTATTGATATAAAATTATTATATTATATATGATAAATATTTTGTAATGTTTATAATTATTATATAATACTATATATATAAATATTATTTTATACAATTAAAAAATATTATTGCAATTGTAGCGTTATGAAAAGAATAATATTTGTTAACCTAAAAATTAAACTTTTAAACATTATAGATTTTTGCATTTTTTGATATTAGTGGGAAAAAATTATTTTACATCAAGGTGAAAAACATTTTATAAAAGATGCAAAACCAACTTTCCAATTTTTTAATTAAAATATAAAATGTTTCTATAAAAAAAAAAACAGACAAGAGAAAAGAGTTATCCATTTATAAAATACAATAAATAATTGATCTTCACAATGAAATGATTCCTAGCTACCATAGATTATGAATGATATCAAAAGATACATTATGCATTGCAAGTATTGGCTTTTACTTTATAAAAGAAATTGCAAAAAACAATAATAACAATTCAAAACTTAAATAAATAATTTATATGGCAAAATTTAATTTTAAGGAAACAATTTGTGAATATTTTTTATACTAAATCTGTTATAATTTACTAAAAAGAATTCTATAGAAACTCAATGTAAAGAATTTTCACACTCCATTTTTCAATTATTTCACAAATCATTTTTTTTTAACTTTGTTTCTAACCTTTTTACTTAAACTTTTTTTCCATAAACATTTTATTTAAAATTTAAAAAAAGAAAACATAGCAACAATTACATAAAAAAGCATCAAAAAATTTAAAAAATTTAAAAAATTTTTTTGTTAAACAAGATACTTATGAAAATGATAGTCACAAAAAAAAAATTTTTTTGTTTATAATTATTATTATACTTTTATAATTGTTAAAATTAATCGAATCATTCGAATCATTATGCTTTTAAAACAAAAGAAACAAAATATGAAACTTCAATTATAATTAGTTTAAAAAAATTTATACTAAAAAAGTTTTCCAAAGTTTTTAATTATTTTTTTCACTGTTGTGTTTGTTGTTTTCTTGTGTGTGTATGCTTTTTTTTGTTTTTATTATTTAATATTAGTATTTGTTATATACTTTGTAAATTTGTTTTAAATTGAAAAATAATTTTGAAAAACAATACAAAAAATGTTCAATTACAAAAAAATGGGGTTTTTGCATTTTGTTTTTGTTAAAAGATACCTAAAAAAACTTTAAACCACACAGGTAAAAAATTAAATATAAACTATAAAAAAATTATTTAGAAAAAATTTTTAAGCATAAACTTTATTGCCTGATATAATGTGAAATTAAAAAGCAATTAAGATAATTCAAGATATCTACTATACAATTCTATATTATCATAAATTGTTGTTAAAGAGCTGGTTCAAGTAATTAAAATTTTCGTTTTTTAAATTTATAACTTTAAGTGACTCACCAAAAAATGTCTTTTAATATTCAATTTTTTAAAAACGTCTTGCTATTTGTGTATAATTTAAAATACATGAATATTAAGTTGTGCAAAGTGTACCTTCTAAAGCAGAATTTATTCCTAAATTTCTGCTGCAGAAAGTACACTTTATGTTAACCATATAAGAAATTATTCATTTTATATGGTTAGTGTATAAATTAATTTAAGATTCTGTTTTGGAAAAAGCACTTTGTATACCCTAATGTGTGTTTATTTTAAAGTATATATATATATATATATATATATATATATATATATATATATATATATATATATATATATATATATATATATATATATATATATATATATATATATATATATAGAGCAACACTTTTGAAAAAATTGACATTGGAAGACATTCCTTGGTCTTTTATATATGGTTAGTGTTTGTCTTGAATTAATGTCTTTAAGTATTTTTAAAAGCAATTTCATTTTAATAAAGTTTTTCAAATTATTCTGAAATAAAAATTGAAAATTAGGCAAGTGTTATATATAAAGTTTAGAAGGTTCTGAATAAAAGCATATTGTAGATATGATTGTTTAGTAGTAACTTTATGTAAATAAGATTTCATTTTCAATCAGAAGTATTAAACAAAATTCCATTCACATCTAAAGGACACTTTTTCAGTAATGCTAAAAAATAACTGAAGTCAATAAAGTTGTTTAGTTTTAGTATTGACGTATGAGAGCAACATAAATAGTTTAGGTCAATGTCAACAGTAATGTCAATGTCATCAGGTCAATGTCATCATATTTGGAGACTTTTAAGTCTCCAAATTCTCCAAGTTCTAAAGTTGTTGAGTCTATAATTTTTAATCTTTGATTATATCACAGATGTTGTAGTTCTGAGATCATTTTACTGGCTCTTTATAAGATATTTATCTTTGTACTTAAAAGTGTTATTTAATATTGCAAGCATACTATTAGCTTTACTGGCTAATATTAGCTTTACTGGCAGCATTTTTTAAACTTTTTCAATAGGTGCAATAACTTTATTGTCATCACAACTTTAATAAATATGCTTAGTAAATCATTTATGAATACCAAGAAAAGGAGTGGGCGGAGCACAGAACCCTGTGGTACCCCACTTCATACACCAACCCAATCTATTTTACATTCTCCCATAACCACTCTTTGTTTTCTATTCTATATGAATGCCTCAATCTATTTGGTATTTAATCCACTAAAGTATACCAACAATACCAAAGTATAAACCTATGCATTACCTGATAATTAATGATTTTTTCTATTGTTTTACATTGAAGTGATATAAGAGATACAGGCCTGTAGATTTTTCAAATAATAAATATAAAAGATTGAAATTACTGAACTGTATTGTTTAAGAACAAAAAGATGTACCAAATCAAAATTGATTCAAGAGCATTTAATCTTCTTCAGTATTATTTTATAAAAACATAATGTTGCAATTGTTAATTAACAATATTTATGTTTAAATCTTTGTCTTCTTCATAAACATACATACACTACATAAAAAAGTTTTGTCTTTTACATAAACAGAGCGAAAATATTTATTTAATTCTTCTGCATCATTTGATAGGTGACAATTTTTCCTTTACAGTTCTTGATTGCTCTAACTTTTTTACAGATTTATTTTTATTTACATATGTATAGAGTAACTAAAAAGATTTAATTTACAAAAATTACCAAATTTCTTTCTTAAATGACTTAACATTTTCTTTTATTTCTTTTTTGATTTCAATCTTTAAGTTAAAATCAAAAATCCCTAACCAAAGTTAGAAATAAAATGGTTAGTGTTATGTAAGATATCTACTCTGATATGAGCTTAGGGTTAGGGTTATGTAAGATATTTACTCTGATATATGAATAAAGTGTAGCCAATTAAGCAAAACAATATCAGAGACCATGATTCAAAATAAAAATAAAAAAATGAAATATTAGGTATATTTCATAGCGCATATATTTATATTCTAGGTAGAAATAATAATTTTTTTTTTATCAATGCTATAATGATTTTCTAATTTTTGAATAAAACCAAAGTAATATCTTCATAAATTTTGTAAACTTAATTAACTAAAAGATATTCAATATAAAAACTAATTTCATTTTTTTAAAAGAAACTTTTACTAATAATTGCTACCTATTAACATACCTATAAGGTAAAAAAAAAACTCTCGATTTAACAATCGCTGTAACATATGACTGTCGATAGGTATTTCTTTAAATACTATACATAGTATACTTTATCTTTACAGTATGGATTTTATGAGTAAGAAAAAGTTGTATCATATTTAAACAAAGAGAAAAATCTTTTATCCATTTTATTTGCCATTCCATTTCAGATGTTACGTTCATTCAGAAAAATGTTTTATTAAATAGAAAAATCACGTCATACGTAGATTTGGTTATTGAGTTTAAAGTTGTTGTTTTTTTTATATATATTCTGCTTTGTACTTTCTCGTCGGGCAAAATAATAAAGTTTGAGAAAATTTAAGGACCATAAAAGCTTGCTTCTGCCAAAAGTAAAGCCGCTTGTTGCGCCTCTGGTTTTATAAACAATTTTAAAATACTTAAAAAAATAATTGGTTTTTTAAATAGGGTCATGTCTTTCCCTACCGTGAAAAATTGTTTTATACAAAACTAACTTATTTCAGTAATGATATATTTTTAAAAAGAATTATTTTTATAGTCTTGAGATTTTTTTTTTCCACGAAAATCTTTTACAGTCAAAAAAGTTTTTTTTTTTTTTATGGCTAAAAATTATTTATTTTTTTTATTTTGCTAAAAGCGTAAAATAGTTGTAAAAACATTGAATATTTTAAAATTCATCAAAAAATAGAAGTATTTTTTGTATAACCTTGTTTAATCCTTGACACTGTAGGTGATTACAAAAATTATACTAGTTAGCACTCACCGTTTATAAAAACGTTTTTTATTTTTGTTTATTTTTTTTCTTTAAAATACCATTTAGGTTAATCTAAATTACCAAGTAAAGGTAATTTAACCCATAGGAATATTAATTTTATATGCTTTTTATACTTTATTTATGATATAAAATGAATTATAATAATAAATTTAAAGATTTTAGAAAGAAAAAAATATTCGGACAAAGTTTTAAAAGTCAAGTTAATATATTCCGACAAACAACTGCAGGAACACTTACAGCTATAAATTACGGCGAAGAATTAAACGACAAAAAAAACGCATAAAAAAAAGATACATAAGAAGAAACAAGGTTCTAATTCAGAGTGGATAACTTTTATTAAACTAAAAAACCAATATTTAAATTTATTATTTTTATTATTAAACTTATGCATTTTTTTCTTAAGGTAAACAAATAAAACAAATATATTATATTTTCATTTATGGTAGGTGAAGAATTAATTACCCGTAGGTAATGCCATATCACGGTAAGTGAAGAAACGTATTATATCTTACAAAAAATTAAAAATAACATTAAAAAAATAATTTTACTCAAATTTGAATAATATAATTTATTTAATATTAAAGTATAAATTATTAATCTGAAAACCTTAAATTTAAATATGTTACAGTTAAAACTGTAACGGTTTTGGAGATATGAAGTTTTAACGTGAAAAATTTTCTTAAAGTCAAGGTTGAAGAAGACCCTATTTTATGACCCTATTTAAAGAAAAATATTTTGCAAATAAATTAATAATAAAAATAAAAATGCTACAAACAGTTGTAAACTGCGCTATCTCCTATAAAAAATAGAAAAAAAACATTGAAAAATCCATTGCAACATTGAACTCCGAATATATGTAAGACGATTTTTTTTTTAATTAATTTGAATCTTTTTTTTATGTTACTTTGTTTTGTAGATTATTTAGGGGCGACTTTATGCTTAAAATAGTCTTTCAAGAATTTAATATTTAAAATTATATATTATTACATAATATTTATATTAACAATTCGAGTGATGGAGGGCTTGTTTTAAAAGCGTTTGTAATCGCATAATTTAAAGATATTTAAATGTTGTTTATGCATTTCAAACTAGATTTAAAAAAGGTTTGTTATAATTGTAGTAAAGTTACATTACAACGTTTTCGATGATTTTCTTTAATGATTTGCCTTAAAAACGGAAATTGTCAAGTGCGGTGGGAAAGCGTCTTAAAGGAAATACTGGAAGGGCTAGATAAAAATCGCTTTATTACTTTTTTTATGAAAGAACTGTTGTCATATCAAGTTCTCTTAGTATATTTTTTGTTAGCCTTACTAGCGCTACTACTGCGTTTTTCTTAGACTTGTTCAACTTGAAGTGGTTTTGACTGTACTTTTACTGTTGCATCTCTTGCTGATCTTGTCACTACTGCTAAAAATTCTTCTTCCGTTGGCTCTGCATCTACTTTAGCAATTTTGAGTTTGCTGTAATGTTTTATAAAGAACTTATACTATATAAAACATTTTTTCAAAATCATTCTTTTTTACCGTTTCTTATTTTTTTTAACTTTCCGCATCTCGTACGCATTTGAAAATATTATATTTGAAGGCCATACTTTGCTTCATACCATAAAAAACATTGTTAAAAAATATATTACCAGAGCAATCTTACATGAAGTTTGAGTATACAAAAAGTATTTTAGGGAGCAATATGTTTTGTGGCTCAGTGTTGAACTTGTTCGAGTTTGGCAATGTCTTGAGCTAAAAACGGTGACCAGGCCAGTAGGGCAAATTCTAGGTGTGGGCGAACGTATGAAATATACAGTGTGCGCCATAATGCAGAACTTCGACCTCGAAAAGCCTTCTTGAGCCTGCCAAGTATTCGGTTGCCAGCTTATACAGTCGCACAGACTTGTTCTTTAACTTTTAGATCGCTAGTCATAAAAACGCCTAGGTCTCGTTCAGATGACGTGCATGATAACTGGTGCAGTTTTTTATTGCTGCCCCCAGTGTGCATGACTTTAAACTAGTTGACATTTCATGAAATGAGCCATGTGTGCGACCACTTCACTGCTTCGTTGATATCGGCTTGGAGTTTTATGATGTTATGGTTTGAATCTTTAATTTCAAATATTTTACAGGCATCTGCATACATTTTAAAGTGGTGTTGTATTTTGTCTGCCAAATTATTAATGTATACAAGAAACAGGAGCGGTCCAAAAACAGATCCTTGTGGCACACCGCTAGAGACTGTTTTCCAATTGGATTTATTGTTACCAATCTTTACGCGTTGTAGCCGGTCGTTTAGCCAGCTCTTGATACAATCGTTCAAGTTGTCAGACACTCCATATGATTTCAGCTTGTGCAGCAGACAACGGTGCGGAACTTTGTCGAGTACTTTAGCAAAGTCTATGAATATGATATCAGTTGGGTATCCTTTGCGGGCGTCAAAGTCAGGACGTCGCAGGTTTTGAGTAAGTTTGTGATGCAACCTTTTCCTTTTCGGAACCCGTGTTGAACAGAGCTGATGAGTTTATTTTTGTTTAAGTGGTCAGTAATGTGTTTGTGTAAAAAGCTTTCCATTACCTTGCAAGGAACAGAAGTGTGTGAGATAGGTCGATAGTTTAGGGGTTTGACTTGCAGTCTTTTTTTAAGATAGGAGTATTTTCGACTTTTTTCCATTGAGACGGTACTTCTCTAAATTTAAGGGATTCAGAGAAGATAATGCTTAGTGGGATAGCAAAACCTGCAGCACAGTATTTCAAGACGCGTGGGTAAATGCCGTCGAAGCCCATTGACTTGGATTTGTTTAGGTCCGAATGTTTTTCTTTGACGTATGATGCGAGTGTGGTCGGTTGGTTTATGCTTGTGGAACGAATGCTGAATGTTGGTATAAACCCTTGCCGTTTGATTTCGAAAACTGTTTGGAAATATTCGATAAGAGTGTTGCAGATTACTTTAGGATCTGTTGTAATTTGATTGTTAGTTGTTTTAAGTTGACGGATGCGGTCGTGTGGTTTTTGTTTGCTTTTGACGTACGAGTGGATTATTTTTGGGTCATGTCTGCTATTATTTACCAGTTCAATTTCGTAACCAAGAACGGCTGTTTTAATTAATTTTATTGCTTTGCTTGCTTTTTTATGCTGTTCACGTAAAGTTGGCTTGCTAGTTTGGCTGGCTGCGATAAGTTTGCCCCAGAGATCGCTTTTCAATTTGACAGCATTTGCAATATCTTTGGTCCCCCATATTTTGTGCTTGTTAGTGTAAGAGGTGGTTGTTGATGGGACGTGTGATGAGGTCACTTTGTTGAATTTGTTGATAAATAAAAAATTGGAAAAGTTATAAGCTGGGTTAAATGCATTTCTTCGAATCTTGAAATTTGCTATCTGTTGGTCAATTGTTTTGTACCTATGCAACAGTCGCGATGACACCACCTTTGTCGACATTTGAATATACAGTGTTGCTAAAGTTGAAGTCGCAGTAGGCATGTTAGGTTGAGCAGCCAATTGAGTTGCATTTGTCAGAGGCAGTGCTTATTGAGCTTATTATTTTATTGAGCGTTAAGTCGTTCAGGTCGTGAGGGCGGTAGAGGTAGCCTATTAGAATTGATTCGTCGTGAAATTTTAATTTGATCCAGACTTGCTCAATAGTGGTGCGGTTGAGTTGGTCAGTTTTGGTAAAAGAACAACCGAGGTTTTCCTTTGTGTAGATGGCCACTCCTTCTCCTCTTCCGATTCTATTTTTTTTAAACAATTGGTACCCAGCTATTTTTGTGTCGGAGTTGTCGGTGAACCAAGTTTCGGCAATCAAAATTATGTGTGGTTGAAGTAAAGTGTCAATTGAGGTAATTTTGGCTCTTAGTTCGTCAATTTTATGGCCATTAAGTGAGCAAAGGTTATTAGCCCAGTAGATGAGTTGTTCTGGTTTTTTTGGTTGTGTTGGTTGTTGTAATTTTGGTTTTTGGCTTATCGGAAGAGATTTTTGGCTTATTAAAATCGTCGTACTTTGTCTATTGTGGCTGTTTGATGTTGAGTTCGTCAGCCATTTATTATTTGTTGAGTTGGGTACAGGAGTGTACTGGATATTGAAAAATGGTTTGCAGTTGAGTACTAGGTCGTTTATTGGTGTCATCAATTGGAGACGTTGGTTGATTAGTGGTTATTTGGTTTTGGTAATTTCTTCGATCTTATTGCCTCGTATTACAATGTTGTTGATTTTGCAGGTAAAGATGCATTTTATTTTTACATTCAGTGCGTATTTGCCATGATAAGTTCTTTTTGTCTGTCGTTAGATCAGGGTTGACGAAGAGTGTGGTATAGTTAGCTCGAAATAACAAGCTGGACAATTTTAGTATATGGTTGCGGTTGCATTCATTAGAAAGTGTAATGACTAGCGGTTCCGTTTTGATTGAGTTGCCCGCAGAGTCACGAGGTGTAATTCGGAAAAAAGTTAAGTACTTGTCTTTGTCCGATAATGTCGAGTACTTTGTTAATTTCAGTTTC